TCAAACCTGCTTTTATTAGAGCGGTTTACATATCCGATGTTCTGAACAGAGGGGCTGATGTGACGTCCAAGGGCGGCCCACGTTATGTGGACCGGATCCTCCATCCGGATCTGATGTTTTTCAGACACAGCAGAAGTTGGCAAAGCAGCTGTGGACCTGTTTGCGACGCGAGAAGAACGCGCAATGTCAACTACGGTTTTTTCCCTGAGCCCGCGAGACGATCCATCGCTGGGTGGGGACGCATTTGCTCACAGTCGGTGGCCCAAAACGCTTTTTACGCGTTTCTTTTCCCTCACCTCCTCTGTTTTTTACGGTCCATGAACCGAGTTCAGGAGGAGGGATTGACAGCTCTCCTGGTGGCTCCCGGCGTGTGAACGCACTATGGTTCCCAGGCCTGCAACGTCTGTTGTGGGGTCGCCGTGGAACTGTCGTGGAGGAAGGATGCTCTCCTTCAGGCAGGAGGAGCGACCAAGAGTTACCCAGAAATAGGTCAACACCGGTGGGTCTGACCGCTGAGCGGTCCCACTTAGAGGATGGGTCTCCCTCAGGAGATAGTGTGCACAATTCAAGATTCACGTGCTGCATCTACCACAGTTCTGTACACATCAAGGGTACGGCTTTTCAGCGCTGGTGTACAGAGAAGGTTTAGAGACCACTTCATGCTTTTTAGGCAGCGTGTTGTTTTTCTACAACACCTGATGGATAGGGAGTTGGCTTTCAGTACGCTTTAACGTACGTTGCAGCCATCTCTTCCTGCCACAAAGGGTTTGGAGACAGAACAGCTTTTAATCACCCGCTGATGAAGCGGTTTCTAAAAGGTGTACAGAGATGTAGGCCTGTTTCATGCCCACTTGTTCCACAGTGGGATTTAACGCTGGTCCTGCGAGCCCTGATCAAAGCTTCAATTGAGCCTCTGGATCAGTTTTCATTTAAATTCTTGTCTCTTTAAACAGTCCTGCTGCTGGTCTTAACACCCGCTAAGAGGGTAAGTAATTATCTGCCCTCTCTGTTGTTTCGTCATGCCTTAGAATTAGGCTGACGGGCAGCTCAGCTGTTTTAAGACCAACCCAGCTTTTATGCCTAAAACATCACGAGCTCTTTTAAATCAAGAGTGATGTCGTTGGAGGGGTTTTTTCCCCCCCACAGATCAGAAGGGGAAGCATCTGTTCATCTTCTCTGCCCGGTGCAGGCGTTGACGTGTTACGTAACGCGCACAGCTGCAATGCGTTCAAATTCAACAATTGTTTGTGCATTATAGAGATGCTTCTGCAGGTCGCCGTTATCCATCCAGCGCTTGTCACACTGGCTGTGTGAGGCCTTTTTCTGAAGCCTACAGAGCATCAGATTTAGGGCCTCCTGTCAACCTCTAAGCACACTCGACCAGGGGTATCGCATCTTCGACTGCTCTGCATAATGGTATGTCAATGCAGGACATTTGCACTGCGGCTGCATGGTCAACACCCTGCTCATTTATTCGCTTTTACCTACGTGATGTAACGGCTCGTTCCATGACACATTCTGTCCTTAGTGCCCTAACAGAATGAATATTGTTGTTCTCATGGAACTCTGTTTAAGCTCACTTCTGTCTGCATGCATTACAGTGTGAGATGTTGTTTTCAGTCACAGTCGTGTCTGTGATTTTGGTTCTATTGTCACTAATCAGTTCATGATTGTTGTTAACAATCAGTTCATTTGATTATTGATCAATTCATGGACATTAATCTGTTTATACTGTTCAGCCATGAACCAGTTGGTTCATGCCCCCCTCCCCCCCCTCTTTTAACTTCCTCTTCCCGTTGAAAGTTTTTCCGGGGTATTCATGTTTGTCAGAACGCATAGTTACACAACATGCGTCTGTGCATGGCACATAATTACGCGATGCGTAGTTTATGCACACGGGGAGCTGAGTGACAAGACGCTTTTTGGGCAAGCTTCCGCTTCTTACTGTGTTCGAATGGACCCAGTGAGGCGAGGACCACATCCGCTTCGCCCTTAAACCATCAGCGACAGCCTTAAAGGGCGAAGCCTATATGAAATAGAACGTTGGTTACGTACTGTAACCCCAGATTCTATGAATATAGGCGTAGCCCTTTAAGCGTCGGGCCTCACTGGCTCCTAAATGGCTGAAGAAAAAAAAGCTATTTTGGGAGCCGATTTCCCGCTCTTAACGTAATTTATACGGACCGGGTGGGGCCCACACAGCAGGTGGGCGTGGACTAATTTTTTTTCAGTGCTTATGCTGCGCATAACGGGATAAACCATCAGCGACAGCCTTAAAGGGCTACGCCTATATTCATAGAATCTGGGGTTACAGTACGTAACCAACGTCTTCCATTTTGCCACACTCCATTTTAAATGACTCCTGGCCCAGTGAAAATGTCTGAGCTTGTGGAGCTTGCTTAGAAATGGCTTCCTCTTTGCACTGTAGAGTTTCAACTGGCAACAGCGGATGGCACGGTGGATTGTGTTCACTGACAATGCTTTCTGGAAGTATTCCTGAGCCCATTCTGTTATTTCCTTGACAGTGGCATTCCTGTTTGAGGTGCAATGACGTTTAAGGGCCCGGAGATCACGAGCATCGAGATCACGAGCATCCAGTAGAGTTTTACGGCCTTGACCCTTACGCACAGCGGTTGTTCCAGATTCTCTGAATCTTTTGATGATGTTATGCACTGTTGATGATGATAACTTAAAAGTCTTTGCTATTTTATGCTGGGTAACACCATTCTGGTATTGCTGCACTATCTTTCTGCGCAACAATGGTGGAATTGGTGATCCTCTTACCATCTTGGCTTCTGACAGACACTGACACTATGAGAAGCTCTTTTTATACACAATCATGTTGTCAATTGACCTAATTAGTGTTAATTGGTCTTCCAGCTGTTTGTTATATGCACAATTTCCTTTTGCCAGCCACTTATTGCTACTTGTCCCAACTTTTTTGGGATTTGTTGACACTGTGAAATTTTGAATCAACATATTTTTCCTTTAAAATGTTACATTTACTCAGATTAAACTTTTGATCTGTCATCTATGTTATATTACAAATAAAATATTGACATTTGCCATCTCCACAGCATTGCATTCAATTTTTATTCACAATTTGTTTAGTGTCCCAACTTTTTTGGA